AAAAAACTAAATTTTCCATTGCAGTTATCTAGACAGACATCATTAGTCCCCTTATCTGAAATCTATTTAACACAATTAACTACACAGTGAGTGAGTGAGTGAGTGAGTTCCTTGTTTGCAGATTTAATTCATTACTGCAGAATCAGTCTGTTCCTCTTCCACTGGGATGTTTCAGAGTATTTCAAAACTTCAATCAAGCTAAACTTAAAATAATCATTTTGGAAACCTTAAGATAAAAATGTAAGGTAATTGTTAAAAATACAAAGATTGAAGAAATTGCAGAATCCGATGGCAACACATGTTTTTCCTGCTTTCCTTTCACGGTTGTCACATGACCTGTTATCTTGTGACCCCTGGGTGGGGTCCTGCCCCTGAACCAGTGTTTGCATTTCATTTATTTAGATGGATCTTTATTTAAATATCTATATAGTTTCTGATTAACCCTTGTGTTGCTGAAGGGTTTATACAGCTTGTTTCTAAGATTAAACATTTTATCAGATTTTTTTATCATCAATTTAAATATAATTTTATGATCACAGCACTTTCTAATCCGTAAAACCTGTTTTTGTGAATTGAATTTTCTTGAAAATGTTTTGCAGTTAATTTCAAAACTAACTTTAAAACATATTTGAAAAGGGCAGCCAGGTACAGAGACAATCCAAGATTCAGTAGGGAAAATAAGTTGTATCCCACTTTCATTATTGTGGAGTGTTAAGAGGAGAGGACAGAGTTCAAATCATTTCAGGAGAAAAAGAAAAAAAACTAAATCACACAAATAAAAAGCACTTAAGCAAACACAGTAGTTTGCTCAGTGGAAATGGCTGCAGATTTGTTAAATTTTAACACCTCTGCAGAGCAGGCAATAACATAAGGTTTGTAATAGTTATATATTTCAGCTGCAGTCTTTCACTTTATATCAGTGAAAGTTAATTTAGCTTTACAGTAAAACCCTCAGTTCCTCCCACCTATCATCTTGTGGAGGTTTAAAGTGATTTTCATCCTTTAGTGCAGTGGAACTTAGAGTCAGTGAATCAGTAATAAAATGAACGTTTCTGCTTTTACTCCATTGGCCGATTCTTCACACTGCCCCCATCGACTGTTGGCGTGAGTATATTTGTATTTAAATGAAACAGATAAACATCAGATGTGTGTTGCCTGGGTGTGGTGGATACAGAGATGGTGCAGAAACTCTCCACACTGTGCTCTAATCAAACCCCCCCCCTCTGCTACTTTCACACGAGGGTTTCTGATGTAAATGAACTGCCCATCTGGAGCTGATGGCTCCTCAACTGAAAACAGAGACTGAGAACGCAGACATGAAAGTGTCCGTATCTCACCTCTGCGTGGCTTTTGTCTGGGCTGATCTCAAACACACACAAACACGCACTGAGTTACTCTGTCAACCCCAAACCTTTGTGATGTGCAGAGAGCATACAGATATCAACGTACTGTATGTACACGATGAGAGGAGTGGGAGTTTGGAGAAAAGGGGATTTGGATGGGGCATGAATGGAGGAGCGCTTTTCTCAATGAGTCCAATGTTCTGCTCAGCATGTGCTTGCCGTGCATGCCACCCCCCTTCCCTCCCCATTTCTCACTCTATTCACTTCCTTCCTCTCTGTCTTCCACAACTACTTCAGCCCCATCCCCCACACCCTCACACATCTCTGCCATACCCAGCCCCTCACTACAGTGGATGGAGACAGGGCAGGGAAATAGGTCCACTGTGTGTGTGGGTGTGGGTGTGTGTGTGTGTGTGTGTGTGAGGAATGTGGTCCTCCCCAGTCACTGGCACCACTTGAGAAAGACAGAGGGGACTGGATAATGTGACTGATCAGTGATGATTCCAAACAAATGTTTTTGATTTGCATTCAGTTGTAAAGAAAAAGTGTTGCTTACAAATAATCTGTGCAGATATTATAAATTGAAAACAGACCATGTTTTATTACATTTTCCAGGTTATTGGGCACTAAAACTACAGAATCAAACAACACAGAACATGATGCAAATTAACAATATTTAACTGTGTTAATAGGCTCAGTAATACTCAAGAGGAGTAAACTGAGTATATGTAAAATTGCTGAAGTGCACCTGTAGCTTATTGTCAATTTAGCTGTGCACTCGTGGTTTATAAAATGATAAACACGTCCGAAGCAGCAGAATCAGAGATGTTTTTCATTTATTTTGAGAATGACTATTAGACCAAAGCTGGCACTCACATTACCCACAATGCAATCCAACGCACAATCTTAGTTAGTTTCTTAGTTACTAAATCTAACACTCTGTTAAAAAAACGCTCTGAGATATTTCATCCCTTTAAGGAGGATATAAGGTTTGTTTAGTTTTTGAGATGCCTGGATTCAACTGTCTGATTATTTTAAAGTTGCGTTGTTATTGATTTGTGTAATATAATACAGGAACAAGAACAAGGGACTGAATATTATCACTGTACAGATAAAAAGCAAAGTCATATCTCCAGATTAACAACAAAATACTTTTGTTCTCAATAAGGACAGATCGAACATCTGCACAATAATTTGAATGGTTCTTCCCTGAGCCATATCGCATCCCTCCACCGACTTTTATTGGAAATGCATCCTGTGGTTTTTGCGTAATCTTGCTAAAACACCAACAAACAGACAGGAGTCTGTGACACCCTTGAATGAGATAAAAAGTGCAAATCCTGGTAAAATGCAGTCATCATTTTTATTACATTTACTTCTCAACTATTACTGCAACTATATTCAGCTCACAGGGAAGGATGAAATTTATCAATATTTTTTTTCATAATCATCTAATTTACTTTGCTTATTATACATTTGTGGATTATTGTTTCGTCTATTGAATGTAAAAAGGTCTAAATGAATGAATGAATGAATGAACGAATGAATGAATGAATGTAAACTTGCAAATTTAAGTGATTATAATTCAAAAACACTGCGACCGGATCTTAACCTGTAGCAGAATCGTCTCATGCTCGGCCCACTTTGACATGCCCACCCCTACCCCCACCTACGTCCTCCTGCCCCCCCACCCTCCCTCCTACATGCTCATCCGTCTTCCCCTGCTGCACGCTCTCTTGCTCATTCTAGCAATCCATTTTTAGGCGCTGCGTAAACCGCAAGAGTGCTGCAGCCAAACCGACTAACAGATGTGGACAAAACATCCTATTCCTGCCTGCGCCTGGGTTTCCCCCTGCCTGTGCTGCTGTTGGCCCTGGATGAGCCTGAACATGACTAACACACACACACACACACACACTCGCACACACACACACACACACTCGCACACACACTCGCACACGACACTCACATCCTCCGAAGAGGACATGAAGAGGGAAAAAAAAAAGGAAGAGAGGGACAGAGGGAGAGAAAATCTGTTGGGAGGAGAGAGGAAAAGTGTGGGAGCAGTTGAAAGGACAAGGTGGGCGGAGATGGGAATATGTGTGTGGGTGTCTTTTATACTTCTGCGAGGGGGCGGATGGAGGTTAGTGGGCGGGGGATGGGGCTGATTCAGTCTGCTCATGAGTAGTATCTGACTCACACAAACACAGGAAGTAGCGCATGCTGCCTGTTTAGTGAACTGTACTGTATTTATGTGATACTCCTGTATGCAGGGAATAATGGGAGCGCTTATACCACCTAATTTCACCTCCGTACATCGGTCAGTGACTCAGCACCCCACTCTCCTTTTTCAAATACTTTCATATCCACATCCTGAGATTTCTGGACAGAGATCCAGCGGGCGCATCAGTCATAGTGTGACTCAAGCCTGTGAAATTTCTAAGGGAGAAAGCATTTCCATATTTAAAACTTCCTTTGGCAACAACAACCTCAACATGCCAATGGTCCCATTTTCTATGTTTTATTTTTATTTTTTACTCATCCCATGAGAATTGAGCAGCATGTTAGGCAGGAAAACATAGATGTACTCATCGTCCAGAATTAAGCGTAATAATAAAATCAAGTCCACTCAGTTATACTACTATATCTACTATAATCATGAGGAATCATTTGTTATTGTTCACGTTAAAATCTCTTCATCCCTGCAGGCAATCCATCACGGTTTGGTGCCTCTGCAGGGAGGTCAGAGGTCAGGGTCAGCTGCAG